GCTGTCCTGCAACTCTTTGGGTGCTGTTCAGACAATGTTCCAAAGCCATTTTGTCTTACTGCTTCAAGCACTATCTTTGAAACCAGTAGAGCATTTATGACCCTCTGCCTAGGAGCTTCCTACGTGTGTAAAATCAAGCCAGCACAAAACATTCACATCAACCTTGACAGGCTCAGTCCAAATTCTGACATGTGGCAGCTGTTAAAAATCACAGGGGAGTTACAGAATCCACTGAATGCCTTTTGGGAGGGGTCCAAGATATTTAACTATTAGGAAACACACATTGTCTGTAAGGTGATGGCCAACCCTGCAGTCAAAACTGAAATGATAGCATTTCTGTGCAAACACAAGTTACTTTTGATCTCTGCTGTCAGGGTCCCAAATGTCAGAGTGGATGCAACAATTCCACCATTGTGGAAATTCGTGAAGGCTCCTCTGGACACTGGGTGTATCCCACCATCACTGGCCACAACCTGAGTCCTGCTCTGCTGCCCCTCACCAGTTTGAACACCCAATAAAGCTCTCTTCACCCTCATCTTCCTTCCTCCACCAGCCCACTCAGGACAGGTTTGCAGCTCAGGAGAATCCTCTCAGCATAAACCACATACAGGACCCACCCAAAGGTGAAAACAAACCACTACTTTTGGGTAGATGAGATGCTGATTTATCCTGAGGTCAACGTGACGAAGTCAGCAAAGAAACTAACCTTGGCAAATCCACTTCACAGCACCTGAAGACAATGAAAGTCTGATAACTGCCCTGACACAATCCCACACTTTTTTCACCAGTGGAGGAAAAGTTTAGTGTCCCAGAAGAAGAATCTTAAAGGGTCTAGGAGCAGTACTAGAAAAACTGCATTCAAGGATAAAGCTAAATAAATAAAGAAAAAGAAAGGGGAAAAAAAGGAAACCCCAAGATACAATAACTTATTTGATCTGGGGCTGTTTATGTTTACAACAATCTTGCTTTCACCTGCATCATGGAAGTACATTTTCCCTTGTGGGAACAGTGGATAAGTGAAACCCACAAATGTAACTTTTTCTCCTGTGACAACCATCCACATTTCAATCTAACATTCAAACAGAAAACCAAATCCTAAATCTATTTAATTGTCTTACTACATCCAACAGATGTTAACCATGTAAGTACTGATCATTGTAAGGCTGCCAGTGAGAAGTGATGAATTTTTATATCTTGCCCTACATGGACTGGCTTTCCTTTAATTTTTCAATTCTCCCACTGTCACAGAAAAACAGGGCTTGATTTGGGGAAATTAGTTTAATTTTCTTACCAATCAGATCAGAGCAGGATAATGGCAAATACAACCAAATCTTGAGAACATCTTTCCCCCACCCACCTTTTCTTTCTGGGCTTAATTTTACTCCTGGTTGGGGAATGGGGGCTGTGGTCAGTTCTTCACATGTTACTTCTCCCAGTTCTTCCTCCTTAGTGGGAGGGCTCCTCACACTTCCCGTGCTCCAGCATGGATCCCCTCCTCAGGAGATGGCTCTGCCTGAGCCCCCTCCAAGGTGAGTCCTTCTCCTGGGCTGCAGTTCTTCATTAACTGCTTCAGCATGGGGCCCTGGCACAGTCCTTCAGGAACAGGCTGCTCCAGCATGGGGCACTTAATATAGCTCTGAATTGTGTGGATACAAAGGGGGAAACTCGGACAGGTGCTGGCTCTGCTGCAGCCTGTCAATGACCCAACACACAAATAATGCTGCAGGGTGACAAGCAATAGCAGAGCACCACACTGCCAGCACAGGGAATGCCGCTCACCTCCTCCACTAGGGCAGTTCAGCTCTCACCTACTTCTTTGCAGTGCTGGGGCACCTGTGAGCCTCCCAAACTACTGTGCTACCGTGAGCACAGAGATAATAATACAAGATAATTCAGGCAGAATAACCCCCAATGCAAAACACGAGCACCTGCCCACAATGAGATCATTGAGATCACCACAAAAGTACTGCCACGGAAGCATTCTGTGCCATTAAAACATGAGTCCCGTACCACATGGGCTACTCCAACCAGCCAGGCTGCTGGGGGCTGCTGCCAGCATGAGTCAGCCCCCAAAAGTCAGCCAACAGGCTGAAGAGTTTACCCTGAGGTAAAATGTAAACACTTGTGCCAAGATATGATCCACTAACAGACGATAAACAATAGTACTACTTTCATGTTTCTTCCCCTCCTTCCCTAACTGACTTGCAACCATTTTTCAGAAATTGGTTTTTAATCTGTGTTTCAGTATTTTGCCTACATAATTTATGTACTGGAAAAATTGTTCTTTAAAAATAGTCTCCAATTCAGGTAACAGCACACAGCTCAACTCGTTCATATACAGAGACTGTGGAGTTAAACTAAATTTTCAGCTGAAGACAAAAACGAGGAAGCAAGAATAAGAACATAATCATATATTGCATACCTTTAGCTATGATACACTCTGCAGATAAACATATTTTAGTTAGTAGTGGTTTAGCTAAACCACTACGAGCAGATATTTACAGCAGATATTTATATTTATTTAATATATAAATTTATTTATAAGTAAATTTATATTTACTCTTACTTAAAGAGTAAGTTTTTAAAGGAGAAGATGTAAGATGTAGATGTAGAAGATGTAGGGAATGAAAAGTACTGACAGAATATACTTAAAGAATATACTTAAAGAAACCCAAACAAGCAAACAATAACCCATCTAATAAAAAAAAATTAAAAAAAATCACAACAAGCCTGATATTTGTGTTGGATTTTCTTGGGTTTTGTTTTGGGTTTTTTAATAGCAACTTTGAAAGCAAAAAAACACCCAAATCTCTCACACCAAACCAAATCTAATAATAAATGTAATGTAATCTTCTAGCCAAACTCTTGGCTTGGCACTCAGGAGTGCTGAGTTTGGATGCTACAGTATCCAGCAGCTTTGTCTGAGGCTGTTCAGGGAAGCACTGCTCACACTGTGCAAAATTTTGTTGTATATTCCCTGGAATATTGAGAGCAAAGTTCCAGAGAGAAAAAAAAAAAAGAGACAAGACTGTAATGGCTTCGGACACCTAGTTAAGCAGCTTATTTCCGAAAAACGCTGATGACCCAGGAGCTCCCATTCACTTCAAAGTGTAGGATTTGGGGATGTTTGTTGCTTTAAGATTTATGGTCTCTCTACATCCTAAATGAGAGATTCAAGAAATTACAACAAGTAGCTCATCTCCATTAAAATTAGAAAGAAGTGCTAGACTGATTTGTGGCATCTGTTCCAGAGACCAACACATTCATGTCTTCACTGATGCTGCTGGGGGAAAAAAAAATAGTGTAAAGAAGAGAGGGTACACCAGGGAAAGCTTTGCTAAGGAGCAACAGGGCACCTCATCACAAAATCCTCACGTTGACAGAAGCCACAGCACATGAGAGAGGGGAGAGGAGGAGAACTCTTTCTTCCTGCAGACTAGTGTGTAGTAAAGGAACAGAATTCAGCTCACAGCTCTGACTATATTCCTGGCGGCGAGCCAGCTTAGCAACATTGTGTAAAAACAGAATCGCAAGCTGGGCAATAACAGACCAAGACAGCATGTGGAAATCCATAGCTAAACAAAATAACACCATCAGGAGCAAAAACTTTGATTCAAACATGAGGGAGAATTCTTATCATGCAGCAAAGCTGTTGTACAGCCAAGCTGACAGACAAAACCTACAAAACCTCTTCAAAATCCCCTAACATTTAGATATTGATACCCACAGGGATTTTTGGGGACTGGCAAGTCACCAAAATAAATGTGTTATTTCACTCCAGGCAGGACTGTTCCCCAGTGCCTCCTGAAAATATGGCAAGCTTCACCCGTGAAAGTTTTAGAAGGCTTTCTCCTCTTCTGAGGAAAAAAACACAAAACCAAAAAAAACAGAATAGCAACTGCAAAGGGTAAGAGTTCATAAAGGGATGTCACTGTTAGCAACCTGAGTGACAGACAGGAAGGAGATCTCCACAATTGGCATTTGGTGAATTGCAAGCTATAAAAGCTGTTTGGAGATTGGCTGGGCTGTTTGCAGTTTCTGGGGACAGCAATTTAATTCTGTCTGCTACTAAATGATCTTATTTTGTCTATATTATTTATTTCAGAATTTCTTCCTGTACCAAAGTAAAACAAGAAAACAAAAAATCACACTTCTTACTAGGTTATATTTTCAGTGACTGTATAACCAGAAAAGTGGTTTTAATATCTCTAATATTTGCACCTATAACTGGAATAAAATAATTGCTCTTGTAGTTACTGTTAGTCTTCCTTTCACCTGATTTATTTGGCTTTTAGTGCTTTTAGTACAGTCATCATTTTCCTCTTTTCAAGAGGAGATACTATTACAATGCATGAATTGTTGATTCATGAATTATAATTAACAATGGATGGATTATGGATTATAATAGTAATAATGCATCTATGCTGAAGTTGCATCTTAATGATCCTAGCCCACAGTACCGAGTGGTCTATTTTAGCTGAGCTGGAGAAAGAAAATCCTGCACCAAGAAAGCTCTCAGAGAAAATGCAAATAAGGTCTTTCTTAAAAAAATTTTTTTCTTGTAACTCAAAGAATTTCATACATAAATATTGGCTACCCCCTCTTCCCAACATCCTCCTGCTCCTCAACTTCACACCTTTTTCTTCTGCTGCTGCTGCTCAAGATTTTGACACTAAAATCAGACATTGAGGCCTGACTTATCTGCTTTTGAACTTCCCTATTCAGCAGGTCCCAAGAGCATAAATAGCATTTCTGTGCCTGTATTTGATCCTATTACATTTTAAGCTGGCACTTGAGGGGATGGGAGAAAGGAGAAGTCTCACTAATTTACACTTGGCAGATTTTTTTTGTTAAAAAAGTGTATTTTACGTCTGATATATATACACACACATATGTATATATCTATTCATCCTGGATAGATGAAAAATAAAAGGAAAAGCTAAAGGAGCTCAAGCTGTTTAGTGAGTTGAAACTATTTAAATAATAAGACCTTTGAAATGTCATTTTACCCATTTGTTTTATTCTGTTTATCTTTAAAACAGAAGTTTAGTCCTTGATATACACCTGAGAAATTTATCTGCATTATATAGTTAAAGGAAATTAATTAACGCAACGAAGAAGATGATGCCTAACTTTGCTCAGAGTGCTGTGGACCTCTTAGGAGCACAAACACACGCTTCTCGTTGATGCAGGTATGGGTTGGCTAAATTGGGACATTTATGGCACAGAGGAATGAATATGAGCAAAACCACCTCGTACGGAACACGATTATTGTAAAGTACGGGCCAGTAGTAGCTGCTTGAAGAAAATACCCGTAGCAGTGGTGGCTCTTCTTCCTGGGGAAAAGAAGTAGCCAACAGCAGATTTAGCCCGAGAATCCTTTCAGTTCCCCTGCTCCTGGAAGCCTCTTTTTCTCTGCACTCACCTTAAACCAGCCTTGGCGGGAGGCTCGCATTTTCCAGCTGCTCCCCGCGCACTGCCCAGCCCCAGCCCCAGCCTCAGCCCCAGCCCCAGCCCCAGCCCCGGCCCCGG